AGTACCTGGCTAGAAAGTTTATACATGCCAGATTGTATGACATTTATTTAGTATGATATTATTCAAGTACGATATAGAAATCAGTCCATATTCTCTTAATTAGGACTACTTTTCAGCAATACTTGAATACTAATATTTTTGAGACTTTATTACGTCAACTACCTTTTAAATGTAGTGAGTTGTCCCAAATAACTTCATTTGAAGATTGTTTAAATTCTCAATATGAAATGTCTTATGTGACAGTATTTCACCCATAAATACATGAATAGGAAAATAAAATGCCAGGCTGAGGTAATGGCATCTTTTATAATACTAAAAATGTCAGTGATTTCATTGCAACAAAATTAAAAATGTAAACCACTTTTTAGCATAATACTGGAATTTTTGCTCAGTTATCCAGCATTGTGATTTTTTTAATACCAACGAGTGAGTATTTTTATTCCACTTTCGTGAACTATTTTAAAGTTCTTCTCCTTATCCTAAGATGTTTCTGTATTTTTACTCAACTTACATCCTTTTGAGTAAACTGCAATACTTACCAAATTCTAATAATTTCCAAATTCTAGTTGTGTCAGTTAGATCTAGTGATACGTTAATGAAACTCCTTTACCAGGCACAACAAGAAGTTTTTGTAGCCTTGGAGCTGAAATGGGGAGATGTTTGGGACAGGGAAAGAATATCTTCATTAGTATGTAGAAACTAAATATATGTGTACCAAGATTATTAAAAGAATGAGGAACAGAAAGGGGTGATATTGTACTTATAAATTGATTTTCCTATAACTACCTAATTTTTAAAAAATACCAGAATGGATTCATTTGAAACTGACTGATACATCCATCTTTGGTGACTTAGCAATTACCCAGGCCTTTTGTTAATTCAACTGACCTTGCCTCCAACTATCAAGGTTGAAGCCAGCATTGGAGAGTGAAGAATGTCAGCAGTGAGGGCATCATGGCAGAGAGGGGAGACAGCGGCCAGGAATGGGCAGGAGGAGAACAGATGGAGAAGGAAGGGAGTCAGATCAAGAGGTAGGAATGGAAATATAAAGGAATAGAAAAGGAAAGGGGGAGAAAGGAATATGGGTATATATAAATCATTGAAGTAATGTCAAGTGTCATAATTGTAGTGTTTAAATATACTTAGGACTGCAACACAACCTTGAAAACACTGAGTTTTTAAAACTGGGAGAAAGAAGAGTTAATGTTAAAAGCTTGTTAACTCTTTTTTTTAAAATTTAAGGTCAACACTAACGATACACAATCATTTAAAACTTCAACGTAGTAATATTTAAGATCTATTCCTAAGGGACACTTCATTCAGTCTGACCACTCAGACTGACTGTCCACCACTGACTCCTTCTCTATGATTTATATGGCATGCTTCTATAGAAATTTGAGAATGTAGCATTCCCTGGAAATAGTTGTGCATCTGCTACAGTGAGAGACTCTGGGTACTTATTTAAAAATCAACTTTCTTTTTACCTTTTTCTCCCTTTGGCTATATAATTTAAGAAAGTTTACTTTAAACTTAAGGACCAGAACACTGAAACAAATAGTACATGGATGTCCTAGTGAATTGAGTTTCAAGTTTAGAATTGTTGGGTCATACAAACCAAATTGATTATCTGTACTCATTTAATAGTATTGATATGAATTCTAGCTTTGAACCAGGTTTATATGTGTTAATAAATGTTTGTTGCCTTCAACACCTTTAAAAGCAACAGACTAGTAATGTTTCTACTACTGGAAACTTAGAATTCTTTTAGGCTATATGACAGTCAGCCTTGTATACAAAAAGCAGTAATCCCTATTTGATCACCTTCAGTGTCATTCTTAAATTAAGCCTCATATAGATATTCACCAAGTATCTATCTAAAAAGCCTTTTTGTTTTGTTCTTTATAGTCAGCCCTAATAGAGTGAAATATTTTCAGGCTGTAAAAAAGGAAATGTAAATGGAGTTAGTGGATTTCACCAAGAGCTTTGGAAGAGTTGTGTATTAGTGTTACACTGAAGCAGAATGGGAATTGAGTTTTGTGTTATAGGAACAAAAAGACTTCTATAACCAGGAATATATCCTGCTTGACTGCCTGGAAACCTCTCCCTCCCAACCCCCCATGGACAGCCTGGGCACTGTCCCTGAGCCTCTTTGTGCTCAAGGTTAGTGCTCTACCACTTGAGCCATAGGCATCACTTCTGGCTTTTTCTGAGTAGTTCATTGGAGATAAGAGTCTCACAAACTTTTCTGCCCATGCTGGCCTCTCACCGCAATCCTCAAGTCTCAGCCTTCTGAGTAGCTAGGATTACAGGTTTGAACCACCAGTGTCCAGCCTCCCTGGAAACTTTGTAAAATTATTTATAAAACTTTAAAATTATTAATAGTCATTTTTTGTTTTGAGACTATCTTTGAAAGTGAAAAGCTGTATAGTTTGAAAATTTTCTTGATATTGAAGCTTAAAGTTAATGCTGCCATAAAATCTGAAGAGAATGGAGCAATGATTAGAAATTCCATGAATGAAGTTTACCAAGAAAAGTTTCTTGGAAATTTATAAATGTCTTTTTGGCAAATAAGAGGAATAATCTGGCAATTATGTTGGAAATTTGAGTATTATAAGCAGTTTGGTTTGACTTATGACTTGAGTGTCTTCACTAACAAAAACAGCTCCTAAAGATTAGCATTTGAAAGTTAGATTCTCTTAGACAACAAAGTAATAAATAAGAAATTGTATCTTCAGGGGGGGTTTTTTGGTGTTTGGGTTTTTGGGGGTTTTTTGTTTTTTGGTTTTTTTTTAGTACTTTTTGAATTTGGGCATTGGCTCTTTGACTGTTTTGTGCTTGTACCAAGCTTGAACTCAGGCCCTTGTGTTCTTACTAGGCTTTCTTGCTCACTGCTGACACTCTCAGAATTTACTGTAATATTTGTAATACTTTAATATTAATACCCATATATATTATCCATATCTTACATATTCAGCAAACATTGGATAGCAGATGTACAGTGCAAGAAAATAAATAACTTAGTCATGTGGTAGCTACTTCCAGATTTAGTTACCCATTTGAGCATTCTTGATTCTTCCAAGCTATAATTTTATTTAAAAAATTAATAAACATTAAAATAATAAAAATAAGTCTGCCCATTTAAGGTAACAGTATTTCTGGTGTTGAAAAGAGTATTAATCAACTTTGTCAGTGTAATGATATACCTAAGACCATAAATTTACAAAGAGAAAGGCTTATTTTAGCTCACTGTTCTGGCTCCATTGCTCTGGGATTCTTGCAAAGGCAACTAGCTAATCAAGACCAAGTAAACTGCTTACCTCATAATAGAAAGACAAAAAGGCCTGGTCCCATAGTCTCTTTAAGAGGTATGCCCCTAATGACCTAAAAATGTCCCACTAAGGGCCTACTTCTTAAAAGCCCACAGTCCTCCTAATAGTGCTATCTTTGGAGATCATGCCTTTAAAATCTATACCGTTGCAGAAACCACACTTACTTTAGGTCTATTTTGAAAGTTCATGCTATACAAAGAGCTTAAAGTCATTTTCATTCCTCTTACACATTTGCAAATAAAAGTCCCTTTCGTGTCCAAAGTTTACCGATTAAATATCATGTCATGTCTTAAAAGCTTCCAGCATGCCAAACATTGGTGGCTCATACCTTTAATCCAAGCTACTTAGGCCAGAATCTGAGGATCAAGGTTCAAAGTCAGCCCAGGCAGAAGAGTCCATGAGATATTTCCAAGTAATCAGCAAAAGATGGGTGTGGAGGTGTGACGCAAGTGGTAGGACACTAGTCTTGAGCACAATAAGCAAAGCTAGAGTACAAGACCCTGATTTCAAGCCCCAGTACAAAAGTTTGTATCAGAAATGTCCTCTTTGCATTAACTACCCAAATCAATTAGTGATGTGATTTATGCCTTTGTCCATCTCCCATTTTAGTGTATGCCTGGGTGTGTTTAGTGATTGATGATATCTAAAGTAACAATAAAATTCAGATATTAATCTTTTAAAAAAATAGATACTTGAATCTTGGAAGTTAGAAATTACCTTTCTGTAAGAAATTTTTCCTGTAATCTTAAAACCTGTTGAGTTTGTAAAGTATGCCTAGTTTCTGAATCAGTGATTGCTTGGTTTGTTGCTTATTTGGGAGGTAAATATTTACTCAGAATTTGTTTCTCTGTCTTATCCAGTGTCTTTGTAATTAAGCTCTGTTCTAGTATCCCAAGAACCTAACTTAACTAAATTTAAAAAAATGAAAATCCCTACTCCCTGGAACTCCACTTAACAAAGCTTCTGTTCTATTAGTTTATTTTTCTTTTACCCTGATTTTCTAGCTGATTTTTTTTATTATTGCTGTAGTGATGTAATAAAGGTATTAGTAGCAGATTCACTTTCAGATTTTTACCTTTTTGCTTTTACCTTTTACCTTTTTACCTTCTACCTTTGCTTTTTTTGCCCCTTAAATAAAATTGTCTGGCTTCTTAGCATGCAAGTTATTGTTTGACTTAAAACTAGAAACTAGTAAATCTGAGCCCCGCCCCCCCCCCAAAAAAAAGAAGTTCACTGTGGTATTTTACCCATTTTTTTAAATCTTTTTTTCTTTTAAGCTACATCATCTTGCTTGATTTATTTTTTTCCTGACCTCCACAATGTATAAATTAATAACTATTAAAACATATCTTGCTTAATATGTGCAAAAGCTCTTAAAGCTCAGACCCATCATGATGGTTCATGATTGTACTCCTTGTCTAAGAAGCAGAGATAGGTGAGGGCAAAAGTTCAAGCTGAAAAACTAAAACCAAAAGGACTGAGGTGTGATTCAAGTGGTAGAACACTTGAAGCCCTTACATGAATCTTGTCATAGCCCACTCTTCAGTTCATACTATTAACCAACCAGTACATTTCTTATTTGTACACTTTCTCTTTTAGAAAGTAGAGGGATTTCCCAAAATGTATTTACTTTTAAAATGACCGATTTTTTTTTTTTAATCTTTCTTGCAGATAATATCACCTACTGCATTATTTTTGGCTGCAAAAGTAGAAGAACAGGCGCGAAAACTTGAACATGTTATCAAAGTAGCACATGCTTGTCTTCATCCCCTAGATCCACTGCTGGATACAAAATGTGATGTATGTAAATTTGGGGGGGTTGTTTTTTCTTTGTAAATTTGAAATCCTAACTAAAGTACAATTCAATTAGTCTTGCCTTTCAAATTTGTTTAATTGCCACTTAGGAATATACCAGGAAGCCATGTGGCAAGAACATCTCATACATGTTCATAATTTAGATGTCGTTCTTCCTGCTTTGAAGTCAGATGTTTTGATTCAGATTTACTTTTTCTCGTTTCACATTTGATTGTTTATCCTCATAGAAAACTATCAAATATGTCATTTACCACCAGTGGTAGGTGTATTTGAGATCAAAAGATAAGTAACTGTTAAATTGTTAGTATGTAAAGGAATAAAAAAAATCTAGTTTACTTCTAGATCAGTAGTGAATCTTTATAAAGGATTGTTTCTATGAAATCTTAAAATGGAACCTCAAATTGTAGACCTTTACAATCATTTTTCATTAGTATCTTTGTAGGTGAGTTATAACCAAGAGCCTTCATTTACTAAATGACTACCAGATTATAATGATTCAGTTTGATCTAGGTCAAGTTTAAAGTCCAGATTAATAAAATGCATCTGATTTTATTAATGAAGTTTGTTTTAGAGTAAAATAGTAATGTCAGTATTAAAAGGGAATTTATGAGTGTTCTGTAATTTTTTTGGGGGGAGGTCCTGTCGTGGGGCCTGAACTCTGGGCCTGGGCGCTGTCCCTCAGCTCTTCAGCTCAAGGCTAGCACTTGAGCCACAGCACCATTTCCGGCTTTTGTTTTTTTTTTTTTTTTTTTTTTTTTTTGCTTATGTGGTGCTAAGGAATCGAACCCAGGGCCTCAGGCATGCAAGGCAAGCACTCTACCACTGAGCCACCTTCCCAGCCCCTGTTCTGTAATTTTTATAGCTCCTATTAGCTTAACTAATTATTTCTAGTTAATGCTTAAGGATATTTTTCAAATACTGGAATGAGGTCAGTAATCTTTAAAAAATTAAAGGTGTTCTTAACCTCTGGGATTAGCAGAGTGCCTAAAAAAAATTAAGTATTTAGCTGCACTGTAGTGACTCATGCCTGTAATCCTACCTACTCAGGAGGCAGAGTGCTGTTGATCACAGTTCGAAGCCACTTGGGGCAGGAAAGTCTATGAAACTCTTACCTCCAGTTAACTTCCAAAAAGCCAGAAGTGGAGTTGGGGTCCAAGTGGTTGAGCACTAGCCCTGAGGGAAAAGTTAAGGGACAGCCCCCAAGCCAAGTTGAAGCCCCAGTATCAGCACACACAAAAATTATTTGCATAATGCATTATTTCCTTCTCATCTGGGTCAAGTGTCATGCATGATCCTAATAATGTGTGGCAAAAAGGTTTCCTATCCTTTCTTCACAGAGTAAAGGACAATAATCTCTTCGTAGAGAGAGTTAACCACTCTAGATACCACCTTTACAAAAAAAAACAATTGGGGCTGGGAAGGTGGCTCAATGGTAGAGTGCTTGCCTTGCATGCATGAGAGTTCGGTTCCTTAGCACCACATAAGCAGAAAAAGCCAGAAGTGGGCCTGACTCTTAAGTGGTAGAGTACTAGTCTTCAGCTGAAGAGCTGAGGGACAGCGCCCAGGCCCAGAGTTCAGGTACCACGACTGACAAAAAAAAAAAAATAATAATTAAAAATAAAAAAAGAAAAGATATAAAGATGTATTCTCTTCATTGTTTCTCTCTATAGTTGGATGATAAATTATTTTGGTTCTGTACCCAACTTATTTGCTTTTAATCTATTTAATCTAGTGATTAGTGATAAAAGATTTTGTTGTTGTGTTTCCTAAGAAATATAACACAACTAGCCTTGACTTTGAAGGAATTACCACATGACAAGTCTAGAGTTTGTCTTCAGTTTATAAGCCTTTATCTTAAAAGCAGGTTTGAGTTCAATGTTTTCATTTGGTTTAGTGATTCTGTCCTTAGATATCTTAAAGCAGCAATGCCTGTATAAAGTTAAACTACATCTTTTTTCAACCTATACTCCTTTCCATTACCTTTAGTTCATTTTCATTCTTTATCTACAGTTCCTATATTAAGGTGATTCTGTTTAAACATCAGAGTAAATCGATTTTCTTCTTCCCCTCTATACTGCTATGATTCTTTCATAATTGATCTAATATTTATGAGATGTAATGGTCAGGTCGTCTAATATATTGTTTATCTAAAGCATTTCAATAATTGTTTTTATCTGACAGGCTTACCTTCAGCAAACTCAAGAACTGGTTTTACTTGAAACTATAATGCTACAAACACTAGGTATGTTCTTTAATATTCTATATCAAAATATTCCTAGGATAATTTTATTATTAAGCCAAGTAATTTTAAGACAGGTTTTCTACCACACTAGTGTTAACTTGTTAAAGGAAACCATTTTTCAGAAATTGAATTTTGTTTGGCATAATTTAATTTGATAGTAAATAACCTCAATGATTTCTTTGGGTTTTCAGATAGTTGAAGCAGTGTAGGTTTTCATTATAGGGTCAAATGGTCTGTGAGGGGCAGTTAACATAAACTGGATCTGTATTCAGACTTATATAGCATTCATTCACTTTTCTGGGATATGTATGTTGCAGTCATGCCAGGACAGGAGCTTGAACTCCTGGCCTGGCACTGTCCCTTAGCTTTTTCACTCAAGGCAGGTACTCTACCACTTGAGCCACAGGGCTGGTTTTAGCTTTTCAGGGGCTAATTAGAATTAAGGGTCTCACTAATTTTCCTACCCTGACTGACTTTGAAACACAATCCCTAGATCTCAGCCTCCTGAGGCGCTAAGATGACAGGTATAGCCACCAGCACCTACCTAGCTAATCCTTGCCACTCTTAATGATGTTGTAATTATTTGAGTAATTATTGTTTTCTATGTTACTTCTATGCAAGATTCATTTATTCTGACTTTACTCTCACTACTAATGTGGAAATTCAAAGTCACATACAGAAGATCCTAGATAAATATTATCATTACAGAGATTTGAGGTGGTTAAGTTTAAATATGTAGGCTCTGACATGTTTTAGAAACTTGAGGAAAGTTTGTTTTATTATTCTATTCCCAAATATTGAGTAGAAGTATTGTAAGTACAAGTGCCCATCATGATAAATTCTTTTTATTCTAAGGTAGCTTGTTTGAAATGCATATAACAAAAAAGATTTAGTGAGTGAGTGGCTCACACCTATAATCATAACTTCCAGAAGCTGAGATGTGGGGATCAGGTTTCTAAGCCAATATAGGCAGGAAAGTCCATAAGACACTTTATCTCCAGTTAACTACTAAAAAGCCAGAAGTGAAGCTGTAGCTCAAATGGTAGAGTGCTGGCACTGAGCAAAAAAGCTCAGGGACAGGGCTTGGGCTCTGAGTTCAAACCTCAGGACCCACACCAAAAAAAGATTTTGAAAGATAGCTCACACATTAGCTCATACATTTAATCCTAGTTACCCAGAAGAACAAGATCCAAAGGAGCCAACTTAGTATGTAGTTGTCTCATAAAGTTATATGCCTTTATGAATAAAGTTACAAACATTTTATAATAAAATTTTTAAGTATAAAACATTGCATTATAAAATATTAATTTTATTATATGCAGTTTAGTAGTAGAGTATGCAAAGAATATGAGCCTGTGATCAGTCCATCCCAGTAATACTACAAAAAAGTCATTACATAACATAATATGTAATACATTCTTAAGCACAGAAAATGAACATTTTAAAAACACTAGAATTTATTTGAAGAATTGTTTTATATGCTCAAATACAAGCAAAACATAATTAAAGCATACAGCTGCTTCATAAATCCAGATTATTTGGTACTTTCGTTTACTGCTTCTGGAAGCACTAGATGTAACCTCCCTTAGAAAGAAAAGACCATGCTTGCCATACCTAAGGGTTAATTGGATAGTGAAAGCTTTTCAAACCAGTTATCTTTGGTTATATAACAGTAATTTTAAGAATTGTAATACCTATATGATGTGCTTGCCATGTAATTTTAGTTGTTAATAAAATATACTTGAAAGCTAACTGGTTAAAACCCTTTCTTTGTTTTGTCAAGGCCTGAGCACTATCCCTGAGCTCTTGCTCAAAGCTAGTGCTCTTTCACTTTGAGCCACAGCAACACTTCCAGTTTTTGAGTAATTAATTGGAGATAAGAGTCTCACTGGGACTTTTCTACCCAGGCTGGCATTGAACTACCATCCTCAGCTCTCAGCCTCCAAAGTAGCTGGGGTTACAGGCATGAGCCACCGGTGCTCGGCTAAAACCCTTTGTTCTTACGTGTAGTGTAAAACTACATTTAATCTCATTTAAAGTTTATTTCTGTTACTGTAACCCAACAATTATGTTATGAAAGAGGTAATTTTTACATCTTCTGGAAAAAAAACTTGGATATTAAGAAAATTATATTTCCTGCTTAAACTATGGGGACCAGCTTAATACTTTGATTGTTAATGTTACTATTTGCCATTGTTTTGATGTGATTTTGACTTGAGGACAGTCACAAATTAATTGTAAATTTTGAATAAAATTATCCTTGATCTTTAATAATTTTGTCTATTTCCTTCATTGAGACATTTTTTGTTTGTTTGTTATTGTACCAATACTGGGGCTTGAACTCAGGGCTTCTCCCTCTTGGCATTTTTGCTCAAGCCTTCCTCTTGAGCCACACTTTCAGTTCCCTTCATTAAGACACTGTACTTGAGAAGAAATTCATATTCTTACATGTAATGAACATGCCGGTGTTCGAGACTAATAATGAAGGCTATATTACATAATTACAATTGTGTTGTAAATGGTATTTCACAGGCAATTATAGTAGTAGTAAGTAGTTGGAGGGAAAATGCTTATCGTTTCAGGTTTTGAAATCACCATTGAACACCCACACACAGATGTAGTGAAATGTACCCAGTTAGTAAGAGGTAAGTGATCTTTGTAACGTTTTAAAGACAACTATTAATGCTCTTTCTTTTTTTTGTGGTCTGTAATTGGTTTGGATGTTATTTTGGTTTTCGGGTCTTTTTTATTGGGTTTTTGAAAATGCGGTAAATGTTAGTTTGAAATTAATTTTTGTTTTTAGTGTTCTATGTTAACCTATTTGTTTACTCTATTTGTGCACTGGCTTCCATTCAATCTAGATGGGCATCTGCTTAGAGGATATCTCAATACTAACAATCACTCTCCTTTTAGTCTATCCCAAGAATGGTTCCGTTAATATTTAAGATTTAAGCCATTAGTGCATAGATGCAGAAAGTAATGAATTTGAGCCAACCTTATACCTTTCAGGTAAAACTTTGTGTTAGTAGATAGGTCATTTGGGGAAATAGTTTTCCCATTTTTATTTAAATGAAGCATTTATTAATTTTTTTTGGCATTATTCAGAATGCCGAAGATTTTCCCTTTTAAGTATAATGGAAAATTAAGTATAATGGAAAAATTATATACATATTGAGGTGCCTGTTAATACCTTTTATAAATAGGAATATGTATTTTCATGCTATTTTGCTTTATGGCATGTAAAATATAATACTTTTTTTTTAAACTATTCTATGTATCTGTCACAATGGTAAAAATACTTCTCACATGGCTGTATATGGGGCTGCTTTTTACTTCTGCTTACCTGTTTCTAATTGAATTGTTGATGTATTCATAGCACTCTTGTGCGACACTTAGTGTGCCTTTCCTTTTAAAAATAAAAAATTTTGAGGTTTTTTTTTTTTACACTACCACTATCAACAGGGTTTTTAAGATTCAGTGGCTAAGATTTCTGATGATCTTGTGTTGTAAGAGTTTATCTAAATATTCTCATTTTACTCATTCTAAATTAATTTTATATCAAGCTAGAATATATTTTATGATTCTTGTTATTCATGACTATTATATGAATATTTTTTGCAGCATATTCTCATCCCTAATATTATAGGCTTATATAGTAATTAGTAGTAGATGTTGAAATCAGAAAAATGGCTTAGTTTTGTTTTCCTAAAGACTTAAAAGTAAAAGCCAACCTTTTGCAAGAATAATAGAAGGTCATGTAATTCACTCTTAAGATGAAAATCTAATAAAGATATTAAAGGAAAATATTAATGTATTAATTACATAAATTACCTTAGTTGAAAATAGATGAATTTTTAAACCATTCACATAAACTGCAAATTTGATACAACATCCAAAACAAAAACATTTAAAACTGATTTACGTACAAACCATGGGTATGTTTATTTCATGAGGTATTTATCAGGTACCTCTCCTTTTCAAAACAGTTCTTTTCATGTTTGACGTCTCTTTCTATACTCTTAGAAATTTTCAGCTAACAAAAAAAACATTTCCCCTCCATTTCTTTGTTGTTCATAGATTATTGAAATTAGATATGTTTCTTAGGTGAAAATATGACGTAGTAATTTTTTTTTCTTTTTGTATATGTATCTATGCTTTTTTTCAAGGAGGGGTAAATGGTTTTCTGTAAAGTCCTCCTCCCTTCCCCTGAGATGAGACAGTTGATACTACGCTACTTTGCTACAGAATTGGCTTGTCATTTTTACCAGGGACCTTTCACTTCTGTGATTTCTCCTCCCCTCTCCACCAGGAAAGAATGCAATACTTAAGTCATACTGCCTCCAAGACATCTGATGCTTTGACACTCTTCCTTAGCACAACTCTGCCAAACCCAAATCCCTTTTGTAAAACCCTTATGTTGATGATCCACATGGGGCATCAGGGATTACAGGTGCCATGAATAAACAATAGGATGGGAAAGGAATTTGAGACCTGGTATTAGAAGTAGGTGGGTGGAGCTGAGGCGAACTGATCCTAGGAGAACAGATCCTTGGAAAACAGTGATTATGAATATGGGAGGGAAGGGAGACAGTATAGCAAGGCATTTCTGTTAGAAGAATACCAGGCAGGAGAATGGGTGGGAAAATTGTTTTCAATATCATAAGCTTGTTAAATACTACTTTTCTGTTGGGAATGGGTTTGAAGCATTCTAATTTCTCTGAGAATACTCGTATTTTTTTCTACATATGTCTTTAACTGGAATCTATAAATGAAAAAAAATAGTGAGCTTCCTATACTACACCTTAAGTATGTTTCTAGGTTGTCCTGTTGAACTTAATAGCATAATGAAGAACTGGTCAGTTTGGGGAATTGGGTTGTTTTGTTTCATTCTGATGGAAATATTTAAGACAGGATTAATTAAGTCTGGCAGGCAACTCTTCATGTTTTGTATTAGACTTCAAAAATCTTTTCTTGTTCTCCTTTTTCTGTTTTTTTTTCTTTTTTCTTTTTTTTAATCCAGGAGAATGCTTTATTTCAACTTTTAGCTGACTAGATGCTTAACTTAGTAACAAGTTTAGCCCTTGTAACTGGCTAGCTAAAAGCAAATCGGCTTGTTTCTCAGATCTTTGGGGGATAGCAAGAAACATTTGAGTGAATGTTGTTGAAGATTTTCAGTAGTATAGAAAATGATGGCGCTCTTGTGATATTTGTAAGTAGTAAGTAAAATTTACTTTTTGTGTACAAATCTTTGAAGTTTTGTTGCGTTGAGAATTTTTTGATAATAACATGTTTGAGCTCATAGTCTTGTCTTCCTTTTTTTTTTTTTCCTTTTCTTACAGCAAGCAAGGATTTGGCACAGACATCCTATTTCATGGCTACCAACAGGTTGTTATCCTGACCCTCTTTGTTGCACTGTTGTAGCACACTATAGCTTCCTTTAATGCAGGGTCCCCTCAATGTGTCTCTTACCCTTGTTGCAACAGGAGACTGGACCATCTACTGTGGTGGTACCTTCCTGTTTGCTTTGCGGTGTATTGTACAAGGGACTTTGGGCACAGAGGGGTTAAATGCACAATGTGAAGTGTAGTGGTGCTTTCTGATGACATATTCTCGATTTGTGAGTGCATAAGTCTAAAATTGGTAGCCTGAATAGCAGCTAAAGATTACAAAGAGCTAAACTTAACGTAGAAATTCGAGCAACTTGGTAAGTATAAAGCTATTTCTAGTTTACAATTATAGTTAAATGACAATTTTTTAAAATTTCACATTGATCCAATCTTAACTTTAAAATATACGTTAAAGTTTTTTTAAATAAATAAAACTTACATAATTTAGGGTTTTTATTTTTCCAGATAATACTCACAAGCAGAAAAAAAGTCCTATCAGTCAGTTGTATAAATAGTTTTTTACTTTTAAAAAAACTTACTTCCTTTCAGTTTATGTAAAGCAAAAAATGTGTTTGTGACTATTCAGTAAACATTTTCTCATTTCTGAAACTGAATTGAAAGAATAGTTTTAAGGAATGTTTAATGTCTCATATAATTCTTAGAGATTTAAATTTTTAAGTGGGCCCATTGGGAGAAGAAGACGAAACTGAGTTTTATATGGTCCTTGATTTATGTGGCACTGACAACTTTCATTTAAAATTTTGGATTGGCAAATGACAGCACATTTGCTGGGATTTAGCTTCTATCATTAGGTATTCTGAGGGGGAAAAGAATTTTAAAACTTTGGTTAGAAAGCTAGCATATGGCATGATATATACATGATTTTTTGAAATAGTAAGAGTAAAAGGTACTATTTTTGTAGTATTTACCCACTTTGAGCCCTGGTGTTTGGCTAAAGGTAAGTTCTTTTTATGCTCTTGCTGCCAAGAACACTTGATTTACATAGGAATGGTAAAGTCTCTGATTGGTTAACCATTAGGTCTTGTATGATCCTGGATTATAATGTGACATTGAGATTGCAGTTTGTTTTACAGTCTTTTTATTTTACATTTTTGTTATGACATAAAAATACAAGTTTATAGTGTTATTTTGTATATAATGATTATTATAAGTATACTGTCTTCCTCTTCTTTTATCTAGTACCTTAAAATATAAAAAAAAAGCAGGATTTTTTTTAAATAATCATATTAATAAAATATGTATTGTGGGTAGTGGGTGAGATATTTAATCTAGGATTTTCTTAAATTTTTATTACTGGTTTAATTTGTTAAAATAAGGTTAAATATTCTAAACTTGAAGAAAACTTCTGTAATCTTGTTTTTGCTTTAATCTTAACTGGTAAATGTTTTTCTTTGTTTTACATATTTGAATTTCTATGGCTCATCATTTTCAAACCTGCTCTACAACAGTCTGCATCTTACCACCTTCTGTCTTCAGTACAAACCAACAGTGATAGCATGTGTATGCATTCATTTGGCTTGCAAATGGTCCAATTGGGAGATTCCTGTATCAACTGATGGAAAGCATTGGTGGGAATATGTGGATCCCACAGTTACTCTTGAATTACTAGATGGTAAGTAGAGAAAAGAGGTCCTTCCTTACATTAAACTTTGTATAATGGAAAAATCTTACATGTGCTTTACTCACTTGAATAGTTGTCAATTCTGATACGAAGTTAGAGACTGGAGTAGCTTTTTAAAGAGTTTGTGGGCCATAAGGTTTCTGTTAAAACTGAAACTACTGTTTTGGCTGAAAAGCAACCACAAGTGATTTGCAAATAAACAATGGAGCAGTGTTCCAGTGTAACATAGTTTCTAAAAACAGGTAGCAAGTGAGGGCTGGTGGCTCCTGCCTGTAACCCTAACTATTCAGGAGACTGATCACAGTTCAAAGCTAGCCTGGGCTGAAAAGTCCCCTTGGGATGCTGTAACTCTGTGGCTCAAAATGGTAGAGTGCTAGCCTTAAATAAAAGAGCCTGAGTTCAAGCCCCAAAACCAACAAAGACAAAAAAAAAACAGGTGGCAAGCCATATTTGGTTAACTGTTGGTCATAGGTTGCCTACACCTGTTCTAAAATATACTTCTTTAAATTAATTTTCTTTGTTTTCTTTTTTCCTTCTTGAAAATTTTCTCCCAGAACACATTACTGCTACATTAGATTGTCAGGTTTTTACAGTTTGTCCAAAGGAAATTTAATTTCAGTGGGTTGTAATGACATCCATGTGGCTTAGTTGGTAGAGTGTTGGCCTAGCATGCATGAAACCTTGGGTTCGATTCCTCAGTACCACATAAACAGAAGTTGTGCTGTGGCTCAAATCTACTGGTAGAATGCTAACCTTGAGCAAAAGAAGCTCAGGGACAGTGCCCAGGTCCTGTCCAGACTGGCAGAGAGAGAGAGAAAGAGAAGAGTTAAGACATTGAGCTTAAAAAAAATAATTTATATGCATAATATGGAAATAAAATGCAACAAAAACTAGGTTGCCTTTTTTCCTGCTTTTAGGTTAAAGTTTGGGATTTGTTTTCATTTTGGTTTTATGTTTTTTTGTATGTGACATAATAACCTAAATATCCCACTACAATTGCTGAAAAGGCTCAAGCTTATTTTTTTATTTAAAAAGCAATTGAACATGAATTCTGTGACTTCAGTGTATATAATTGACTTAATGTATCTATGGTTTGCTGTTTTTACTAGTGCCAGGCAGAAAATTACTCTTTTTCAACTGAGGAAGTAGAGCTCAAGGCATTCATTTTATTTCATCCAAACTTTGTCAAAAATCTCAGACTACAGTACTCATTAAATTGTCAAGGTTAAGTCACACATGTTGTAAAATTAAGATTTTGGTTCATGAGATAGTTGTTAGCACACCTGTTTGACAAGCTAGTTTTGGATAGTTATACTTGTGACAACTTTTAGGTAGTTGTGTAGAGGTATGGAGTTTTTGTTAGGTGCTTTTTTGAAAACATTTAATAATATGTTATCAGTCTTAGCATTTGTATAAAATAGTGTGCAGAAAAACTCACTATTGTACTAAAAAACAGTAAGTGAATCTTGTTTATTGACAGATCCTTCCTGGTGTTATGATAGACATGCCACAAAGGATATTCTAACTCAGCTAATATTTGTCTTTAGAGTATTAGTAACTACTGATACTATTTTAGACTAGAAAACATACATTATAACCATATGGAAGGTCAATGATGATTGTAATCCTGAACTTAGAAAATTGACCATGGTAACTTGCTACTATGATAATAGTATTGATTGCTAGGAAGTATGAGTGTTGATATAAGAACTTTTTAATTCCTATTTGCCCTTTACCCAGTTGATATTGTTAATATCTTACATAACAATGTGTAATTATTAAAAGCAAAACTAATACTGATTTAAAAAAAACTATCAATTAAATCAGATTTATCTTTAGTCTCTTCTGGTCTGTGGTATTTTTATATTATAATATTTTTCTATTATGATCTCAACATTTGAAGTGATTGGAAGGACAATTACATTTGACAGCCTTTCCCCGTTGGAGTTTGTTGGATATTTTCTCATGAGTAGGTCCTACCATGATTGCAAGGGTACATCATGCTAATACATCTTCCCACTAGTAATAATCAGCTCATTACAGTGGGATTGCCGAGTTTTTGCCCTGTACAAGTACTCTCTCTTTGTAATTAATAACTTACCTTAGTGAAAATTTATTGAGATAGAAGTATCCTTTTTCTCAATCTTTTTTGCACACTAATTTTGAAGAATCCATTAATGGATCTTTCTCTCATCCAACACTACTATTACTACTTATATAATAAAGACTGTTATTTTAGAGGGGCTGTTTTTAATGCTACTGAGTCTTCCAGAGATTCTAAGTAAGCAAATAAAATCAGAGTGGAGAGTATTCTTTTAAAAAAGGACTCAGCTTTTCAAATACCAGTTCTGTCTACTTCTGTATATGATAATGGTTAAATAGAAGGTTAATAATTAAGGAGATAGACTTTTAAGGTCCCCTTTCTTAATAGTGCCCACTTGAGAGAAATTTAAATCCTAAAGGCACTTCTAAGTTTCTAAATTCTAAGTTTTAAATTTAAATTTTATTTTTAGAGCTAACACATGAGTTTCTACAAATATTGGAGAAAACGCCTAGTAGGTTGAAGAGGATTCGAAACTGGAGGGTAAGAGAATTGGCAGGATTTAACAGAATATCAATTTGTCATTTAGCAATTGTATAGCAAACCAGTTTTATGTGATTAAATAATCTGCTTTCCAGTATTCCCAGATAACTGCAGTATACCATAAACTATATATATTCAATTTATTCAGCTATTGTTTTCAGTGGACTATACATTGCATTATGCATTTTATATTTAATTCTTACAGTGACTGTGGTGGAAGTGTTGTCTTTGTTTTACAAATGAGGGAGCTGACAAATTACTCTCTCAAATGCTGGGTATGGGTTAATTGAATCTTAACTCAAAAACTGAATTTTCGATTTAGAGCCTTCTATTATGCCTCTATTGACATTTATTGACAACGTAAAAGCCTGAAACCAGGTGATTTTTATTTCCAAATAGTTAATATGGAATTTTTATTAACAGACTGTATTAAATCTCTTTGCTGTCATTGTTTCTTTTGTGTTTTATTTAAATAGGCTACTCAGGCGGCTCAGAAACCAAAAGTAGATGGACAAGTATCAGAGACACCACTTCTTGGTTCGTCTTTGGTCCAGAATTCCATTTTAGTAGATAGTGTCACTGGTGTGCCTGCAAACCCAAGTTTTCAGAAACCTTCTACATCAACATTTCCTCCACCGGTACCTCTAAACTCAGGAAATGTTTCTGTTCAGGACAGCCGTACATCTGATAATTTGTCAGTGCTAGCAACGGGAATGCCCAGCACCTCATATGGTTTGTCATCTCACCAAGAATGGCCTCAGCACCAAGAATCATCAAGGACAGAGCCGATATATTCACAGAAACAGGAAGCATCTTTGTCTAGTAGCCAATACAACATCAACTTCCAGCAGGGACCTTCTATGTCACTGCATTCAGGGTTACATCACAGACCTGACAAAATATCTGATCATTCTTCTGTTAAACAAGAATATACTCATAAAGCAGGGAGCAGTAAACACCATGGGCCTATTCCTGCTACTCCTGGAGTAATTCCTCATAAAATGTCTTTAGATAAATACAGAGAAAAGCGTAAGCTAGAAACTCTTGATCTCGATGTAAGGGATCATTATATAGCTGCCCAGGTAGAACAGCAACACAAACACATGCAGTCACAGGCAGCCAGCAGCAGTTCTGTAACTTCTCCCATTAAAATGAAAATTCCCATCACAAATACTGAAAAGACTGAAAAATACATGGCAGAGAAAAAGGAAAAGAGTGGATCACTGAAATTAAGAATTCCAATACCACCCACTGATAAAGGCACCAGTAAAGAGGAACTGAAAATGAAGATTAAAGTTTCATCCTCAGAAAGACACAGCTCTTCTGATGAAGGCAGTGGGAAGAGCAAGCATTCAAGCCCGCATATTAGCAGAGACCATAAGGAGAAGCACAAAGAACATCCTACAAATCGCCACCATGCCAGTGGCCACAAGCATTCCCATTTGCATGTTGGCAGCAGCAGTGGCAGTAAACATAGTGCTGATGGAATACCACCTACTGTTTTGAGGAGTCCAGTTGGCCTGAGCAGTGATGGCATTTCCTCTAGTTCCAGTTCTTCAAGAAAGAAGCTGCATATCAATGATGCCTCTTACAACCATCACTCCAAAATGAGCAAAAGTTCCAAAAGTTCAGGTAGTTCATCTAGTTCTTCCTCCTCTGTTAAGCAGTATATATCCTCTCACAACTCTGTTTTTAACCATCCCTTACCCCCTCCTCCCCCTGTCACATACCAGGTGGGCTACGGACATCTCAGCACCCTCGTGAAACTGGACAAGAAACCAGTGGAGACCAACGGTCCTGATGCCAATCACGAGTACAGTACAAACAGCCAGCATATGGACTACAAAGACACATTCGACATGCTGGACTCGCTGTTAAGTGCCCAAGGAATGAATATGTAATCATTTGTTTAGGTCAATTTTTCCTTTACTTTTTTAATTTAAAAATTGTTAGGATGAAAAACTTCCTCCTGATCTAGCAGTGGTAACACGTGCTTTTGCTGCCACTGCTTCAATATTTGTAAGTGCTGCTTTACTCGTCATTCTGAAAAGAAGAGATTATAGTAAACAAGTCTTTATCTCCACATATGATAGTGTTATAAATACTGTAAAAGCATGGAAGGTGCAAAACTCAGTATTTCTACAATTGCAGCTGAGAACATTAGGATGAATGGCTGGCAATGCTTCTAGGAATATAAGATGTGTCAAGCATTCATTATTTATAATTTGAATACTGTAGCTTTTTTGTTGTTGCTTGGCTTTTGAATGAGTGTAAATTGTTTTCTTTTGTGTATTTATATGTGTATGTATGATTTGCATGTTTCAATGATAAAGGGATAAAACAGCATACTGACAACTGTTTACAAGAAAGTGGAGAAAAATGTACATACATTTTTGTATGTTTAGATATTACCATAAATACTCAGGATTGGAGCTGCTTGTAAGTATAACAATATACAGAATAACTTTATTTTCTCTTGTCAGAGTCCATCACTAATCTAAAAGGTGGCACTTTTTCATGTTAACCTTAAACTCTAGGCCTTACTGGAAGCCACTGAAGGGGGGACACTTCACTACCAGATGGGTATATAGTGCCTCAAGTGGCACTCAAATTCTGCCTTCAGGTTTCTGGCCAGATTGGCTAATAAAATAGCCCCTAATTTTCTGAAGGCTTGAAAAGGAAAAAAATAAAGTTTACATACTCTTGATGTGAAGTGCATTTAAATGTTGTTGGCCTGTTACAGTACCATAAAACAACTGTTAATGATGGTCATGTGGATTACTGTGATTTAAAAACTAAATTTGCAAAAGCATACATAGTGAAGAATTAGTTTTTTCTTTAAAGAACTTAAACACTACATATAACAGTAAGCTGAGGTTGCTTCCTTTAGCATTCACAATAACACCATATTTTTTAATATACTCCTCCCCTGAGGTGTGTTTGCATTGTGATGCCATATTTCTTTTTCAGGTAAATACAGTCTTCCTTATAAAAAATGAAAATAAACCTATGCTCTCAATTCTTTTATATTCTAATAAATAAAAATAAAAGATCACTGACTGTGCATTGTACCTGTATTTATAGCTTATGGTTGTTATCAGGAAGCTATGTTTTTGTCTTTGTTTTTAAAGAAAAAAGCCAGCCTCCAGGCAAACCACTAGTGGAGGGTTATACATTTGTTTGCACATCTCAGTATATTCCTGTTGAGGGAAAGTTTGCACGGTCATCTGACTCCTGATCCAACAGTAGGCTTTAACTTGTGTAAATTTTGGTTTAAATGCCAATAGTATGGCTCTTGTTTATCAGTTAATATTGATTTTTTTTTCTGTGGTAAATCTTCAAGCTGTTGAGTATCTATAAGATGGGTTAGATTCAACGTTGGTTGAACTGAAGACTAATTTTTCTTCTGTGTATATGAGCTATTTTGTTACAAAGCCACTGGTATGTGCACAATTGTAATTTTACTCAAGTATATTGTGGTTGTAAATATTAGAGGTTTGAACTTGTGATCTACTTTTATTTAGCAGTTAAGTTGCTAGTAGCTTTATAATTTTTTAAGATAATTGTTCATTATTTTGTCAATGTTATTTGAACTTGGCATACTAGGAGCCTCTTTATAGGGACTTTGCCTAGGTAGATGTCCTCACATTTGTTCTTGTCTTGCATAACATTAGTAATCTTTGTCATTATATGTAACTTGGTTGCTCTGTGTAGCATAATATTGTATCCATAAACATGGTAATTTTGATACAGTTATACTTTTACCATGGTACATAATCCAAGGACTAGTATAGAATTAAGCTGAGTGCAAGATGAGGGAGGGAAGGGTTTTGTTCTTGGTAATTTAGATGTGAAACCTCCGCAGAGCTATCATGTAAAACGACATAGGGTGGTTGTGCTACTGTATAATGGGGGGGAGGGGGTAATACCAGGAAATTTAATAAGATTTTGTAAAGAATATCCATAAAAGTAGTGAACTTATTTTCAGTATGACATAGAAAACAATGTGAATATTTAAGGTCTGTGACTATAGTTAAACTTCACTAAGAACTTGCAGAATTGTTTTGAGATGTGGGAATAAAGGTAATCTTGTTGAATCTTTATTGGTGCTAATGATGGACAGTTAAAAAAAGATAGCTAGTGTATATTGTTATGGTCAGTACTTACTAGTACTTCCAAAACTGAATTTGAAATGCTATGTATTCACTTTTCACTCTGTAAATGTAATTCTTTACAATGACTATTTATTAAAGGGCAGCCAGTTGTGATTTTCACAGGATTGTGTGAGCTATTCAAACTCTTTAACCTCTGAACAGGATATTAAGCTTCCAAAACCACAGTGGAGATAAATGCAGAATCCTTTTGAAGTTTCATTTTCATAAAGAAAAACCCTCCTAATTCATATCACCATGAATTCATTTTAACCATCTTATTTGCATAAAATAGTTCATCTGCCTGGTCCCATTAGACTCTACCAAAGAAAAAGACTCAGATGAATGGACATTATTACTGTGAGTCTTGTAAGTAGCCATAAATAAACCAAAATAGTATCAAATTTAGGTATGGAATTCCACATGTGCAAAGTACTGTTAAGGTGATAACATTTTGATGAGTTTTTTTTTAATATTTGAACTATTAAAAAACATTATCTTTAAAACATCCTATAAAAGAGTGATTCATTTTTAAGTTGTGTTTTCCCTATACCATATATTTGTTAACCTTCTTATGCAGAAGCACATAGCAAACAAAGGCCTCACTTCTACCTCTTTCATCTAATTTTCCAATACTTAGCTATTTCCTCTAAATATTTGCCTTACCTGCTTTAATGTATGATATTTTCAGAACCAAAGCTATCAGATGTTTGTTTAAAGAAATTCTCAAAGGACTGCTTTACAAGATTGGTGGCCATATCCTTTGCCTTGCAAGAGTTAGTTACCTGTTTGCAAGTACTGGTATCTGTCCTAGCATCTCCCACAAAGCAGTTCATGTGCATCTTGGCCTCGCTGTATTTTCAGGTTATTCAGAGTTTTTGGATTTTTTTTTCCATTTCCTGGAATTCGTTTTTATAAATATTATTTTATATGATCAGAGGCACATAGGCATTACAACTTGTGTTCCTCCCCCAAGAGTCTCCTCTGGTCTCACTGTGTGTGAGTGCCTAGTTTTTTGTTTTTTTAATCTACCATGATGTGCAGTTCTTGAATATCATGATAAAATGCTGATACTTGTACCAATAGGTTATTATTATATGAGAATTCTTATTTATCTTTTTGGCCTATCCTCTTTGAATTGAAGAAATGAGTAGTCATGTTCTACTTCAGAGACCAGTTTAGAATGTTTTTGTTACTTACCAAGTACCTTGCCTTAAAACATTGTAAGCACATTTTCTTTTCTGAGAATTTAAATTGCTGACTTATTCTTATCCAACCTTAGAAATAAACCACTGATTAAATATGCATACATAGTACACAATGAGTAGAGATTTTAGGCTTTTGCATTTTTTTGAATGGGGAATCTTTCTTAGGAAATGGTAACATCTATTTAAAAAGAAAAAAAGACAATTCTGAGATTTTGGTTGATTTTTGGTTTAGGGAGGATTTGGTTTTTTTGTTGTTGTTGGGTTTTTTTTTTTAATTGTATTGGGGTTTGAACCCAAACCTTGCTAGACAGGTGCTGTCACTCATTTCATTCTTTAGATAGGATCTTGTGTTTTTGCCTGGGACTTCTTTTGTTTTCCCCATGGTGGCCTCAACCCCTGAAATTGTCATCTTCCTGATCTCTGCCTCCCAAGTAACCAGGCATGACCTACCAGCACTGGTTTGAGACTGATACATAGCCCAGTCTAACCATCCAACTCTTAATCCTGCTTTAACCTTAACATTAGTTGTTCTTAAAATATCGCACAATTTTTTTCCTACTGCCATGCTTTTTAGGAATTCTTTTGTTAAGGAAAAAGTGAAACAAGGTGAAAAATACTTGATTTGGTATTTTTCTTTATTGAGCTGCTGCTCCCTCAGCCTTTCTGTAGAAGCAATAGAACATAGGTAAAGCAAATCCCACACTCAGAAAACTTGAACTGAACTTAAGTCTCATGTGCCCATTTATTTAAGATAGACTAGTCTAGGCAGATTTAAACACTGGAAACGCATCACATCATATCTGTTCTCCCAGGGTACTAATTTTTGGTACTGATAGGTTGGGTGAAAATTAAGATGTCTGTCTGAAATCAGTGGTTAGTTTGTGGCAAGTTTAATAAGGATGGGTGGCAAGTAAGAAGTTTGTTGCAGCATATAGCCTCACAAGATGATCTTGTGTATGGGACTGAAATGCTCAGTGATTTGGCTTCCATGCCTTGTATTCATTTTATTTTTACTCCTGTTGATTTTGGCCCAGCCAGGTTTTGTCTCTGTGCCTCCTTTTTTGTTCTCTAATTTACCATCATGTTTCCTACCTGATGTTTTTAGATAGATGTATATATCGAAGCAATATATAAACAGCAATTCTATTATAGAGGGGACCCATTAATCTCAAAACTAGATCCTGAGGGCTGTTCAGGTTTATTTCTAAGAGAAAGCCTCATTTAATGTCCTTCCATTTAGTAGTCCAATTTGATTTGCCTGTTGTTTGTGTGTTCTTAAGTAATAAGTGCATTCTTGTTTTTAAGGTGTGTTTTTCAAGCAGCTTTATTTGGTTAGAAAAATTTCCTCTAGTATTCATTGTGAACAGTGATTGGGATTTTGTTTTCTGAATGTACTCAAGACATCCATGGAAATTTGAATGGGATGTTTGCTGATAGAAAAATCCTTAACAGGCATATGTATGTATTGGCATTAATTAGTCATTGAATTTCAGCTTCTCAGCATCTTTACAAGGGATTATTAATAAAATTTATTGATTGGCAACATAAATCCTAAGGCTCTAACATGTCTTGTTAAGTTAATGTGAATCAGAAACAATTGTTACTCCCTGGGAAATGTGGGAAATTATAAGAGACTAATTGACTTAAAAAAAAAAACTGGGGGCCTGTGCTTGAGCCACAATCTAATCCACTTTTGGTTGTTTTTTAGATAAGGTCTTACTTTTTGCCTGAGTCCGCCTCAGAGCATAATCCTACCTTGGCCTCCCTAGTATCTTGGGATCCTAGATGTCACTACCACACCCAGGCTGTTTTTTGAGATAAGAGTGTTCCAGCTTTTTGCCTGGGCCAAACATGGTTTCTGGAATCAGTTCCACATTCCAGTCTCAGCCCCATTAACTTACTAGAAGAATGACATTGAGTGAATCACCTGATCTTTTTTTAATGCAGTGCAGCTGCTCTACTTTCCTTCTCCCAACTTCCTATACTTTGTACTTGGAAGGTAATAAAGACTTAAATGCAGTAACTTTAGTACAGTAGAATTAGGACAGAAGTTACTTTCACTGAAGCAAACATCTTTAAGTCACAAGAGATGTATGGTGACACACAGTCCTGGCTTATTCCCTTAGCATATAATCAGTTGGGTGGTTTACATGAGAACATGTTGAACCATGTGCATCCAGCTTTGTTCCCTCCTTCCCATGTTATTTTCAGTATACTTTTTTGGGGGGCGGGGGGGGGAGGTAGAGATCTTGAGGCTTGAATTCAAGTCTGTCCCTGGGCACTGTCCCTGAGCCTCTGTGCTCAAGGCTAGCTCTCTATCACGAGCCACAGCACCACTTCTGGCTTTTTCTGAGTCGTTAATTGGAGATAAGAGTCTCATAGACTTTCCTGCCCAGGCTGGCTTTGAACCATGATCCTCAGATCACAGCCTCTTAAGTAGCTAGGATTACAGGTGTAAGCCATTAGGGCCCTTAGTCAACATTTTCATTTTAGCTCTACTGTATTATCTACCTGTTCCCACAACACCACCTCCCAAAACAATAGGGCCTCACTAATAGCTTTTATCATGTTGTCATGAAAGTAAGATGAGACTAAACCTAAACCTTTGAATTGTCTTGGTGTACGTATAATCAAGATTTCGTAGTCTTTCAAGTCAAAGAAACTACAGCTGAATTTGCCATCGTCTTTTGAGGTGTCCTGACAATAGCAAACAGTCCTCGAGGCTTAACTTAAAATTTTCCACTATGTAGTGGCTTACACAAAAACTTTAACTGGTTACCTGTGAAGATACCCTACTGAGTAGTTGAAAACATTTTTAATGCAAATTCCTGCATTTAAACAGCTCTAAACAGTGCAGCAGGTGTGAAAAATAGACTGGGCAGCATACATGAAGGAGGTCTATGCCTGTTCATTGATCAGATTAAACAATTACGTTGGAGCTCTCAGAGTTGTGTTTCAGGAGAGTGGGTAGTTTCACACTGCTACATCTTTCTATCCTGTACTCCAGAGCTTGCTCTTTTGTATGTTCACCCACCAAGAAATGTCCACAGCGTAAAGGCTAGCATACATTACAGTTAAGATCTGTACACCTACTTTTTACAAGTTTACTTAGGAATTTAAATTTCTTCTTACTTGGGCCCAACTGAATATATTAAATGTAATAAAAATTCGTTTTTAATGTATGGAAAACTGTATGGTGGAAAGGTAAGGTGATGGTTATGGAGGGGTAGGCAATAAAACTTCAGTGAAAAAATGAGAAGCTTATCCCATCACTAAAGTAACTTAGAATCATGAACAGGACTTGTGTCTTTGGCATTTTGTTTGAGTGGAATAAAACTTGAGAATATAATGATTATCTAAAATCTGGAAGGCAGAAAGAAATTTGAAAGTTGTACTAATTTATACAACTTGATAATCTTTAGGAAGGCACTTACTTCAACCTTATTCTGAAGATTAATATTCTAACATTATATTCCAAATTCTTTATCAAGAGGTAGACTTGCCAGTCTAGTTCATAGGTCACTTACTGTGATTTCACAGCAGAAGTCTTCCCACAGAGGCAATGTAAGTAAAGAACAATGACGATAACCCCAAAGTGAGTTGGGGGGGGGGGGGGGAGAGGAGGTGGTGCGGAGAGAAATGAAGCCCTACCTTTACAAAATACTTTGAGGTCATGTTGGTATATAAGTAAAATATGAAGTATACTCATTCCTTCATGCTAAGTGTGGAGGGAAAACTAAACAGGGAAAGAAGGAAAATATATACACGAAGTCATCAATGTTAGAAATTAACCAAAAGAAAATCTGCCTCACTTAAGCTGCATTTCATGTTATTGCTCTAGAAGCCAGGCTCTGGTTGTTCACACCTGTGATCCTAGCTACTCAGGAGACTGAGATCTGAAAATCACAGTTCAAAGCCAGCTTGTGCAGAAAAGTCCATGAGGCTCTCCTCCAATTAACTACCAAAAAGCCAGAAGTAGAGCTGTGATTCTAGTAATAGACCATTAACCTTGAGGCAAAAAAGCTCAGGGGCAGCACCCAAGCCAAATAAGAGCCCTAGTAAAGCAGTTTGATATACTAGCTTAAGTAGAATTTGTAGTTGGTGCTATCTTGAAGTGGTAGGAGCCAATAAAAGTTATAGCTTAAAACAACACGTGGTTACGTTGAGGGATAAATCCAGTGTTCTTGAAAATGAAGAGTGACCATTCCATCCTTATCAAGACTCAATTTTGCCTGACAGCTGGCTTCAGCTTTGCTTCTAGATGTAGACTGACCTAATTCACTGCAAATAAATGGTGCTGTCAGACCTTAGGAGTAAATTTGTCAATAAGTCAAAATGACATTAATTTTTACCCTAGCACATTTTTATTAAAGTATGAGGGGAACAGAGCATTAAGACCCTGTCCAGGAGCAGCCTTTTGGACAATCACTGTCCAAAGGGGAGATTTACTGTAACAGTTGACCCATAGGGCATAGTTTATTGTCCTGGTAACTCTGACATCCTCTGACCTTGGTGGGCCACTTAAGTAAAATGTTCTGTCTCAAAGATTCCTGCCATCTCATCTATTTTAAGTTCCATTTTCATTTTTCCTATCTATTTTCATGGCTACCTATCATTTTCGCCTCAAAGATTGGAGAACTTTAAATCTTTTAGGAAATGCCAAGCTGACATCTGTCTTTGGCTACTTTCCTGATGGTTTGTGGCATAGGCCTAGATAAGGCCTTGTCCTTGCTTTCTGTCGATGGAAAAAGCTGAATGATGAGAAGGAGATCATAATCAGCTGTAGTTGTATTTGAGGAGCCATGCTGTGGAAACAGAATAAACTGTTGAAACCGGTGAGATACAGCAGTAAACAAAGCAGAGTAAGATGCCCCACAGATGATTTTAAGAAGGAACTATAGTAAGACACTACGTGAATCCAGAGGAGCAAGAAAACAGGAAAGTACTCAAGTTCTAGCAGTCAACATTGCGTTGATCTGGGGCCAGTTACTTAACGTTGGCTGAATTGTCTGGAATATAATCAAAGCATCTAGTCTTAATCTGGGCACCTGTGTCACCTTGTGCTATGGTTAGGATATCGAGGGACATCCTGATTTGAAGTATTGCCTGACCTCTCAACTATCACAGAGTTCAGTAGAGTTAGCTCTTAGGCTGTACAATTTGTACTTTTATAGTCGGGAAAAAAAAGGAAAGTTGGTTGAAATATTAACAATGTAAGATCTAATGAAGAGGAGCATCTAGTTTTCTCCTAGATCTATAGAAATAGCAGTTGATAGGCAAGGATACAAGATCTGGACAATTGGAAGGTAGACAGATAGGTGTCATGTAACCACATATAAACTATTTCAACCTCTCAGTTTTAGTTTTGAAAGGTGATTTCATTTGGATTCTGATAACATTCCCCCCTTCTCATATAAACAGTTCTTCATACTATTTGTTTCTATATGATCTCTTGTTACTAGGATAAGCTTTGTCCTACTAGGACTCAATTCATTGTAAGTATCAGATATCCTAGTTAGTTTTTCCTTGTTCCTAGGATAAAATATCCCAATTGGTCTGGTCCCACAGGCAGGTCAAGTGGAAATCTATACCAGTAAGATATTTTTCTAGCCAAATGTGAGCAACAAAGCTAAGCAGGGAGACCTTTTCAATTTGACAAATATTAGTTTGAGCCATCCTCTATGTATCTGTCTGCAAATGCTCCAGAGGAGGATCAGATCTACAGAAAAGATCTTACAGGGGCTGGGAAGGTGGCTCAGTGGTAGAGCACTTGCCTTGCATGCCTGAGGCCCTGGGTTCGATTCCTCAGCCCCACATAAGCAAAAAGAAAAAAACCAGAAGTGGTGCTGTGGTTCAAGTGGTACAGTGCTAGCTTTGAGCTGAAGAGCTGAGGGACAGCGCCCAGGTCCATAGTTCAGGCCCCACTATCAGACCCCAAAAAAAAGAAAAAAAAAACAAACTTACAACAGCCAAGGCCAAAATTTTTTAATGGCAATTGACAAAACAGTCTAATTATTTCTATTATATACAACATTTTAGGATAATTAATGTTGACATCATTGTTAGAACCATAAACTCTTTCTTACAAATAAGAACACATGGACAGGGCTGGGGTTCATCCTAGCTACTCAGGAGGCTGAGATCTGAGGATCATGGTTTGAAGCCAGACCAGGCAGGAAAGTCCATGAGACTCTTATCTCCAATTACCTTCCACCAAAAACCTGGAAGTGGAGCTGTGGCTCAAGTGGTAGAGTTCAAGCCGTAGGACCAAGACACATACACACATAGGCATAAAATTTAGTGTTAGTTTTATATAAGTGTATTCAATCTTGACCCTAGAAAAACTTTAAAATAATCTTTTAAATTGCAGCCAGCTTAATTACACACATAAACCCTTCATAATTTCCATCTTTTATATACTTCAAGACCTATTCATAGCACTCTGATTTCTTTGTCCGAGCTGTTTCTACCCTCTATACACACTCTTTAAGGACCAAATATATTCTACTTTTTTTTCCCATTTGGGAACAATTCTTTAAAACAAAGCTT